TTTTTTTTTTTTTTTTTTTTTGGTAATGGTGAGAATAGAACCCAGAGTCTTGCATGTCCTAGCCTCTACCAGTCACACTCTCAGCCCCTCATTGGAGGATTCTAGGCAGGGGCTTTACCACCGAGCCACACTCCCAACCCCTCCCTGGGGGATTCTAGGCAGGGGCTCTACCATTGAGCAACACTCCCAGCTCCTTACTGGGGGATTCTAGGCAGGAGCACTACCACTGAGCCACACCCCAGACCCTCACTGGGGGATTCTAGGTAGGGGTTCTTTTGTACTGCATCCAAAAACCTTTTCTGTTGTTGTTTTGCTTTCTTTTTTTGTTGTTTTGTTTTGTTTTTAACTTTTGAGACAGGGTTTCTCTGTAGTTTGTGGTGCCTGTCCTGAAACTAGCTCTTGTAGACTAGACTGGCCTCGAACTCAGAGAGATCCGCCTGCTGGGATTAAAGGCAGCATGCACCACCACCACCACCACCACTGGCTCCAAAAGCATTGTTTTGATGATGGAATCTCAAGCTGCAGCCCAAGCTAGTCTCAAACTTCCCACCCCCCTTTCAGCCTCTGTGATTGGCTAGTAAATACTTTCAGTGAAGGTCATCCAGGGATGGAGCGATGGCTGCTCAAGCCTAGAGGATCTGAGTTTGGAACCGCAACACACATACAGTGAAAAGCTCAGGCTGACAATCTCAGCTGGAAGAAAAGGCAGGAAGATCTTGGGGGCTCACCCAGTGAGCCCCAAGTTCAAGGAGAGACCCTGTCTCAAAAAGTAAGGTGGAAGAGGGATGGAGGATAGTTTCTGACATCACCATGCATGTGTGTGCACACACGTGCACTCACACAAGTGCAAAAACATACCTGCACACCACACTCACAGGAAAAGCAGAAAAAAACAAAAATAATGAAATCAATATGGTAGAGGGATAGGTGAGGTGGCTCGGGGAGAAGAGAGGTTGCAAGCAAGCCTAACAGCCTGAGACTGATCCCCGAAACCCACATGGTGGGTAAGGAGTACTGACCTCTGCAGGTCCTCTGTCCTCCTCGTGTGTGCTGTGGCACATATGCACGTACTTGTGCATACACAATAAATGCATGCACGCATGAATAATAAAACAAAGCCAGGTATAGTGGGATGCACCTTTAATCCTAGCACTGGGGATGCAGAGGCAGGTGGATCTCTGAATTAGAGGTCACCCTGGTTTCCACAGTGAGGTCCATGTCAGTCAGGAATCGACATACTGAGACCTGGTAACAGAAATTAAAAACTTGAAAGGTGGAGAGCACAGAGGGAGACACCTGGCATGTGCACATGCAGCTGCACATGTGGGAACACATACACATTCACACACATGTGAAATAATGTCCATGCAGCATAAGGGGCATGCAATCTGCCTGACACTGCTTTCTCTCTGTTCCCATGCACCAACAGATGCAAAGCTGATGTTTGCCTTCAGCTCTGAATGGCAGTCTGGGATGCCTGGGAAAGGGGCCAGTGCTTCAGTGGGGAGCGCAGTTGAGTCTGAAGGGAGCTTTGGGGAATCCCGGAGGAAATGCTGAGGCTGATGTGGCCTTCCTAGATGGGGAGGGGGTAATTGGGGCACTGACGGAATGGTGGTCTCGCACCACTGCTTTGCAGCTGCCCCCACGGCCAAAGGGCATGACCTTGAGTGAGCAGCAGAGGTAATTGTCAGGTGGTGGGAAATGGAAGGCTCCCTGAGCTGGTGAGTGGCATTCACTGTATCAGGACATTCTACACTGCCAAACCCAGCTACGGAGCCATGATCTACGTGGCTCCTTCCTCCTCATTTTATTCTTGTTGTTTGTTTTGGTTTGGTTTTGTTTTTTGACTTTTTTTTTAATATTTATTTATTTATTATGTATACAATATTCTGTCTGTGTGTATGCCTGCAGGCCAGAAGAGGGCACCACATCTCATTACAGATGGTTGTGAGCCACCATGTGGTTGCTGGGAATTGAACTCAGGACCTTTGGAAGAGCAGGCAGTGCTCTTAACCTCTGAGCCATCTCTCCAGCCCTGTTTTTTGACTTTTCAAGATAGGTTTTCTCTGTAGCTTTGAAGCCTAGTTCTTGTAGACCAGGTTGGCCTTGAACTCACAGAGATCCACAAGCCTCTGCCTCCTGAGTCCTGGGATTAAAAGTATGCACCACCACGCCTGGCCTTGCCTGCTTTTAGTCAAAGCCTGTACTCCACGGACAGCCCTGGGATGTCTCTGGGTGGAGGCCGAACCCAATGTATGGCCAAGATGCGCCCACTTCACAGATGAGGAAGCTGTGGCTTGGGAAAGGCATCCATGGTGACCATTAGGATGGGTGTGGTCACTGCACACCTGTTCTCTGTCAGGCTCATCCTCTGGGCAAGGAATGTCCTGCCCAGTACAGCAGACACTGTCATGAAGAGACTCGGACAGGATGCGACTGCAAACTGGACAATGAGTCCAGAGCCACGTGGAGGCAAATGTGGCAGGGGAGTGGAGAGGGCATGCGAGTCTGCCATTGTATCTCAGCAGAGGCAGGGGTGAGGGTGGCAAGCCCTATGGATATGTCTCAGGCGCACAGCATGGAGGCCAGTGTGTCCAGAGTGGAGGGAAGAGAGAGCACGGAGATGCTGTCAGAGGTAGACGAGAACAAAACAACTTAGCGTCAGGAGGCTGAGGCAGGACGGCCAGTTTGATGCCACTCTGAGCTGCACAGGTAGACACCCTCTCACGTAGGGCCTATCCATGTGTGATGTTCAAGCCTGTAATCCTAGCATTCAGGAGACAGGAGGATTGTCATGAAGTTGAGGACAGCCTGGGCCATTTAGTGAGATCAGGGACATCCTGAGTTATATAGTAACACCTGTCAAAAAAAAATCATGAGAAGACTGGGGTGTGGCTCAGCAGCAGTATGCTTGCCTAGAATCCCCCAGTGAGGGGCTGGGGTATGGTTCAGTGGTAGAGCCCATGCCTAGAATCCCTCAGTGAGGGGTTGGGGTGTGACTCAGTGATAGAGCCCCTGCCTAGAATCCTCTTGTGAGGGGCTGGGGGTGACGCTTGGTAATAAAGGCCCCACTTATCCAGTAGAAGGGTTTGTTCCTAGCACTCCTAAAGCCAAAAACTATCCAATTTTTTAATAACTCACATGAGATCTGTGATCAAGTGAGGACTGGAGGGGAAGGCATATTTGAAAATATTTCTCTGGCTATGATGTGAGGGACTGCCAGGGCAGGTGGAAGCCAGAGAACTGGGGAGTGGGTGGAGGCTGTCATGATGCCAGAGGAAGCCTATTCGGGCTGTCCCAGGATGGTTATAAATGACTGTACTCAGCCAGGCGGTGATGGTTCATGCCTTTAATCCCGACACACTCAGGAAACAGAGGCTGGCGAATCTCTGTGAGTTCAAGGCCTGTCTGGACTACAGAGTGAGTTCCAGAACAGCCAGGGCTACACAGAGAAATCCTGTCTCGAAAAACAAAGAAGCTTGTACTCTAAAAGTCTTTCCAAAGCATTCCACACAGCCCTTTCAACAGCCTAGTGACCAGTCCCTAATGCCAGTGATTGCTCCTGTGTCCCCTCAGGCCTCTCCACATCGCAGTGGTCCAGAACAACAAGGCAATTGCCCTCCGGTTAGTTATCCTTTTCCAGCAGGGAGGCCGGGAACTAGACGTCCACAACAACCTGCGGCAGGTGAGGTACTCCACACCCCAGTCACCCTGGAGCTTTGGGGGTTCCTGTTCCTGGGAAGGAGGAGTCCCAGAGGAGACACTCAGCAGGGAGCCAGCATCCGGGTGGTGGGAAGAGTAGTGGATCTGGGCATGGGAGCATATATCTGCCACCTAGCTTCTGGGAGACTGGACAGGAACTGAACATGGACATACAACAGGCACTGCCTTTTCTTGGGAGCTGGAAAGAGGGCTCAGAGGTTAAGAGCACTGGCTGCTCTTCCAGAGGACCTGAGTTCAATTCCCAGCAACCACATGGTGGCTCACAACCATCTATAATGGGATCTGGTGCCCTTACTGGCCTGCAGGCAGACATGCAAGCGGAACACTATGCACATAATAGAAATCTTAAAAAAAAAAAAAAAAAAAAAGGTCTGGCCCAGTAAAGGTCCTTACCTCCAGGCCTAACAACCTGAGTTCAAAAACTCACTACCGCGAGTTGCCAAGTCACCCCACCAGTGCACCGTGGCACACATATACCACATGCACAGAAAGTAAATACATAAAATGTTTAAAAACGAAGCAAGAAAATAAAACTCATCACGGACTGTGGTCTCAGCAGTTGGGAGGTGGAGGCAAGACCATCAACAACCAGGTCATTCTCGTCTGTAGAGCAAGTCTGTGGTCAGCACGGGCTCCCTGACATCCTATTTATCTCGCATCGCCCCCTACCAGAGAAAGTTCTGTCGAGGTAGACTTTCTGGGTTTTGAGGTAATCGCAGGGGTCTCCGACTCTTGAACTGGGAGAGATGTCAGAGGCTTCCATCAATAGACTCAGAAAACCCGAGGTGCATGCGCAGAAAGATTCTGATCCCTCGCGGTCACTGTTCCCCAGACTCCTCTTCACCTGGCTGTGATCACCGCATTACCTGATATGGTCCGGCTCCTGGTGACAGCTGGAGCCAGTCCCATGGCCCTGGACCGCCACGGCCAGACTGCAATCCACCTGGCGTGCGAGCACCGAAGCCCCAGCTGTCTGCAGGCCCTGCTGGACAATGCAGCCCCGGGCTCCGTGGACCTGGAAGCTCGCAATTACGAAGGTGAATCCCCAGAGAGTACAGGGTGAGTTGACACGGTCCAAACACAGTGCGGGGCTTGACTGCAATTTCCCCTTCCCTCAGGGCTCACTGCCCTGCACGTAGCGGTGAACACCGGGTGCCAGGAGGCTGTTCTGCTGCTCCTAGAGCGCGGTGCCGACATCGATGCAGTGGTGAGCCAGGGTGGCATGCGGTCAAGGGTGTGGCCTTGCGTGCGGGGGGGCGGGGCTAGGAGGCGGAGCTAGCGAAGGGTGCCAGGGTCGCTGAGGGTTCTAGGTTCTAAAGCCTTGGAGGCCAGTTCAAAGGGAGGGATGCTCAGAGCCTACGAAAAAGAGGTGGCTGAGAGACCTGTCCTCCCGCAGGACATCAAGAGCGGCCGCTCCCCACTCATACACGCAGTGGAGAACAACAGCCTGAGCATGGTGCAACTATTGCTGCTGGTTCGTACCCACCCTCCCCCTCCCCGTCCCGCCTCTGACGCCAGCCCAACTGTCACCTCCACCCCTGGCCAGGACCCCGTTTTCCAGTTCAGACTCTAGTTACTGCTTAACCCCAGCCTCTGACTCTCCCTTAAACATCTCATTTGCAAATTCAAGTTTCCTTTCTTTCTTTCTTTCTTTCTTTCTTTCTTTCTTTCTTTCTTTTCTTGTTGAGAAAGGGTCTCACTATGTAGAATTGACCTCAAACTCAGCGATCTGCCTGCTTCTGCCTCCAGAGTGCTGGGATTAAAGACGTGTGCTACTTCCTTGTTGTTTTTTTTTTATTTTCTTTTTATTGTACATGGTTGGTTTGTCTGGTTTCAGATCTGTGTACCCTGTGTGTGCAGTGTCCTCTGAGGCCAGAAGAGGACGTCAGATATCCTAGAACTGTTCTTACAGATGGTTGTGAGCTGCCATGTGGGTGCCTGTCATCAAACCCCGTCCTCTGGAAGAGTTGGCAATGCTCTTAACCAATGACTCATTCCTTCATTCCTTAAGCTCATTTTTTGTTTTTTGTTTCATCATGTTTTGTTTTGTTTTGTTTTTGAGATAGGGTCTCGCTACATTCTCCTGGCTATCCCGGAACTCACTCTGTAGACCAGTCTGTCCTTGGTTGGACTCAGAGATCTGGCTGCCTTTGCTTCCGAGTACTAGAATTGGAAGGTGTGCCACCATGCCCTACTCCTTTTTAAAATTAGATTTGGTCTACCACATTGTGGAGATCAGAGGACAGCAAATATCGCCCTACCCAGCCTAGGCTTTACCTGGGATGACCTGTTGACCCTGCTTCTGGCTTTCATCTTGTCCTTCTGTCCTTCTGCACTCATTCCATCCACTCTCCAGAACCTTTCCTTCCTGATTTCTCCCTTGAATGACTGGACTACAGTGTCCAGCTCTCCTAGCTTCCCTCCTTGGAGTCTCGTGTAGCTGAGGCTGGACTTGAACTTACTTTGTAGCTCAGGTTAACCTTGAATTCTTGATCTTCCTGCACCCACTCTCCAGGCTTACAGGCCTATGTTGTCTTTGACCCCACCTCCCTGTCAATACTCTGATTGCCAGGTTCTGGTCCCCTTCCCCCAGCTGACCCAGGCCAGGTGAGGCAACTAGCCCACGTGGCTCCTGACCCGAATGTCCTATCCCACAGCACGGCGCCAATGTAAATGCTCAGATGTACTCCGGCAGCTCAGCTCTGCATTCTGCATCTGGCCGAGGGCTCTTGCCTCTGGTGCGCACGCTGGTGCGCAGCGGGGCTGACAGTGGCCTCAAGAACTGTCACAATGACACGCCCCTCATGGTGGCGCGCAGCCGCAGGGTGAGTGTGCAGGCCTAGGGAGGGGAATTTAGGCAAGAGGTGAGTGGAAGGGAGGCGGTGAAGGGAAGCTGAGTCACAAAGAAAGGAAGTGCCTGCAGGCCCTCACCTGGATGCCTTGCAGGAGGGGGACTGAAGAAGAAGATAGGAAGGAGAAACAGTGAGGGAGGGCTGGGAAGAGAGAGGGAAAGAGAATGAATAAAGATTGGAAAAACCTCAGGTGACCCTCATTTTCCCACAGGTCATTGATATCCTAAGGGGGAAGGCCTCTCGGGCTGCCTCAGGGTCACAACCCGACCCATCCCCGGACCAAAGTGTCATCGCTTCCCCTGAGAGCAACAGTCGTCTGAGCTCCAATGGTGAGGGTCTGCACTGGGGGCCTTCAGGACCCTGGAGACAGCTCAGCGGGCATCTCCCCGCCCTAAACCGCGTCTCATTCCCTCCACAGGTCTCCTGTCCTCACCCTGCTCCTCACCCCCACTGTCTCCCTCGAAGGATCCTCCTGGCTTCCCAGTGACCCACCAAAACTTCTTCCTTCCGACTGCATCTCCACCTGCCTTCCTGCCCTTCCCAGGGGTCCTCCGAAGCCCCTGCCAGCCCGTGCCCCCATCCCCAGCTCCAGGAAGCAGCTGAGACGGATGGGGGGGGCAGACCCGGACTCATGAGGAGAGGCCTCCTTGCCCTGTGGGGACCACTTCTCTGGAACCTGTGAGGACCTTGTTCTGCTTCCCCCCAATCTCCAGGATCAGGTTTTGCACCTACGCACATGCACCTACTACTGAGCACAGATAGCCCTAATCTCACCCCTTGCCCAGGACTCGTAGCCCCTCTTCTTCTCAGGCACCAGGTACCCAGTCTGGAATCCACTAGCTGATCGATTCTTTGTTCAGTCCCAGAAGTGGAGGAACCCAAGGACAATCCCTTCTCCTCTCCCATCCTCCACCCTGAGGAACCAGGAGCATCTGGGGCAGCACTGATCACAATGTAAATTATTAGGTTTGGGTCAGATTTCTTTTGTAATAAAGTATTTTTGTACCATATCCCTTGCTTCGGATCTGTCACAACCAGGCTGGGCAGAAGTGTGCTTGTGGGTGCTCACCTATGCACCTTTGTATCCCAGTGCTGGAGGGGAGGGGGCTGGGACTGGTGATGGCTTTAGCGGTAAAATGAGTTACTGGAACATTGTGACATCTTCCCTGGGAATGCTGTAGGGTTCCAGAATGTTCTAGCTGTGGGAGTTTCTGAAAGACTCTGCAATTTGTGAGCCACTGTGGGAACCTCAGCTGATTGGTGCTTGGGCTTTAAAGAAACACTTACATGCATATAAATATATGTGTATATAATTTATGTATATAATATGTTATATATTATATGATTATAATATGTTTGTATTATATATAATATATGTAATACATACTTATATATTATAATATATTATAAAATATAATTTAAACATAATATATTATAATATGTAAAGTATACAATATGTAGTAAGTCTTTTCTGTCCTGCCAGCTAGCACCCAAATTAATGACATGGGAGTCTTCTTATTAATTATAAAAGCACATCTTATAACTGGCCGGGCATGGTGGCACACGCCTTTAATTACAGCACTCGGGAGGCAAAGGTAGGTGGATCTCTGTGAGTTTGAGACCAGCCTGGTCTACAGGTCTACAAGAGCTAGTTCCAGGATAGGCTCCAGAGCTACAGAGAAACCCTGTCTTGAAAAACAAAACAAAACAAAAAAAATGCACAAAGCACATCCTATAGCTTAGGCTTATTCCTAACTAACTCTTATAACATAAATTAGTCCATTTATATTAATCTGCACTCTATCATGTTGCATTACTTTTCTTGCCTAGCTATTGATAGTTCAGTTTTTTATTGCACCAATCACAGCAATACATCTTCACATGGTGTACATATATCCCACATTTTCCCCCTTTTGTCAAATAAAAAGGAAAGGTTTTAACTGTAACATAGGAAAACTATATACAATAAGAACAATTATCAAGCAAGAATTACATTCACAATGTTTAGTCCTTATGTATTTGACAAACTCGAAGAAAATACTGTATTATCTATCCTATTTTAGTGAGGCCAACATTTTATAGCTAAACCATTTTTTCATAACTTGTATTACCCTCCTAAAAATATCTTTTTAGATAAACAACTTAAGCTTTGAAGTTTCTCAACCTTATAAACTTTGTATTGCTTATATGAGTTTTTTTTTTCTGAATTTGGTAACAGGGAAAACTCCAATTATCTAATCTTCAATCCCCATCAAACACCTAAAAAGGATATACTATTACCTGAGTAAGCAGGAAGTGCAGAGCAAGCAACTTCCAAAAACTGTGAGAAATGACAGAAACAGCTGGCTACCTGAACCCAAGATTTTTCTGCAATGTTGGGCCATCTTAGGCCTTCAAGTCTAGAACATTCAACAGCCTTTCTGTGAAGCAAGAATTTTGAAGGACTGCCCTACCTTGTCTTGGCAAGGTTGATAAGTCACCTTTTTTGTGTCCTGTTTGTCCAGTTTGTACAATATTCTGTTAGCAGTTAAGGCAAGGGCAATTTCTTTGCCCAGTGGCTAACTTTGCCACAAAAGAAAGCAAACTCCATGTGGAGGTTCTTTGATGCCTGTCATCCTCTCTTGAAATAAATTGGTGCTGCCAGGAACAGACATATCTCACTGTCATGAAAAACTTTTTTGTTTAAACATCTTAAATGTTACATTCTGTAGGTCTCTGAAGTGTTTGAAGACCATCTGTCTATCTAAAATATCTCTGTTTGACCTTGAAAACATACCTAATGTGACTGCAAGTTTCACTGTTATAGATAGCTAACTACGATTCTACATTTCTTAACTATCCTAAACAGTGTGTAATAATAGCCTTTAAAGACTAGAACTAGATACATTACATTTTAAAATGAGCTACACAGGTAAAATGCCTTAAACAAGAGTGGAAACATATATACAGTATGTTAAAAAATAACCTTAAATTTGTATCAATATACAAAAATCTATACCAATGTAAAAGTTTTAAAGCTAGTAGATGCTGATTTAGTTTGAAAGCAGGCTCAATAATCTACCAAAATAACCTCAATTTTGTATTTGTATCAATATGCAAAAATATCTTAAACAAAAATAGAATATATATATATATATATCACGTTAAAACAAAATCCCTTAAATTTGTATCAATACACAAAAATCTATACCAATACAAAATATTTTAAACTAGTAGGTGCTTTTTGGTTTCAAAGTAGACTCAATAATCTATCAAAAAATAACCTTAAATTTATATCAATATATAAAAATATCTTAAACAAGTGTAAAAATATACGTAATATAACAAAAATAAGCTTAAATTTATATGAATATACAAAAATCCATACCAGTGTAAAATATTTGAGACTAGTAGCTGCTTTTTTAGTTTCAAAATAGATTCAATTCAATAATCTACCCTTTAATCCTGTCATTTCTATATCCCCTCCTTTTCTTTTCAGAATGAGATCCCTGAATTTAAAATTTCCTTTCTTAGCTTTCCCCCTAATCATGACCAACAACAACTTACAACAAATGCCCCTAAACGATGATAAACTTACATAATCCATTGAAAACCAAAACACACCCTCCCCACCTCTTGGAAATGTGATGCGCTATTAATAAAAACTCGCAGAGACTGATGTTTGGGTTCAGCCTGAAGATCGAAAAAGCAAAATAGCCAGCCACTGGCTCTTACCTCTATCTCAGTTCAAAATGGTGATCCTGCCTCCAGGAATCTCAGAATGAATGTGTCTGTGAGCTGTCTTCTGTTTTATATTCCTCTGTAGAACTGGGGTTAAAGACATGCACCACTGGGATTAAAGGCATGAACTGCCTGGTTTCTATGACAACTAGTGTGATTACCAGGATTAAAGGTGTATGTTACCAATACCTGGTCTGTAAGGCTGACCAGGGAGGCTATTTTACTCTCTGATCTTCAGGCAAGCTTTATTTATTAAAATACAAATGAAATACCACTACAGGAGAGTTCTCTAGATTGCTTCCTATTCTCAGGAGGTGATAAAATCTTTGGGGACCCTGAGAAAACTGAGATAATGGTCAAGCCCTGGAGGACCTAGCTGTACTATTTGTTGTATAGTCTCTGTATAATGGGAAAATGCAGAGCTTATCTGAAGACCTGCTTGGAGTAGTGTGTGAGGCTGGACCATTTTAGCTAGCAGCTTTGGAGTTGTTCTGGATAAGAATTTTGAGGGAACTGCAATGGAGGCATTCTGAGAGGCTGGATCATCTGGACTACTTGTTTTCATGAGTGTTTAGTCCTTTTTTCATGAAAACACACAAACTTTTAAAAGTAACGTATATGTCTGCATTAACATAACTCTGGAACGTGTAGTGTGCACAAGCCAGTTAACGATGACTTTTTGTTTTATGTTTGAGCAGGTAAAAGGCATCTGTCAACTTCATAAGTCCATTTGGGCTATAATGAAACCTTTATCCATGTCATATGAAATACTACATATGGCATGTAGTAATAAGTCATGAGGACTCTGTAGCGAACAAAATTTATCATGTCTCATCCATGCAGAGGGACCAACATACATGTCACCTGTCTTGTAGTCTTCTCTGTCTTCCTCACTCATATCTGTAGCCAAGATTCCCAGGAGAATTCAAATCTAATCCCTATTAACTTTGAAGGAATTCATAGCTTTTCATTTCAAACAAAGGCATAACCTCTCCCCCAATGCAACACATTTCTCAACTTCCATTCTGAAACCAAGACATCTCTAAAGTATATAGGGTGATTTAATTCAGAATTCCTTTCACAATTCAATGTCTCTCACAACTGCTGTTTGCTCATTAACATTCAGAAAATTTGAAGTCAACAAGACACCATACAGGATACAGATACCCTGTCTACTCCCCATCCATACACAATTTTTTTGGGGGGGAGGGGAGGTTTCAAGACAGGGTTTCTCTGTAGCTTTGGAGCCTATCCTGGAATTAGATGGCTCTTGTAGACCAGATTGGCCTTGAACTCACAGAGATCCTCCTGCCTCTGCCTCCTGAGTGCTGGGATTAAAGGTGTGTGCCACCACTGCCCAGCTGATTTTTTTTTGAGACAGGGTTTCTCTGTAGCTTTTTGAAGCCTGTACTGGAACTAGCTCTTGTAGACCAGGCTGGCCTCAAACTCACAGAGATCTGCCTGCCTCTGCCTCCCAAGTGCTGGAATTAAAGGCGTGTGCCACCACCACCCAGCCATACATGATTTTTTCCTTTTATATTACTTATTCTCTCTTTAAAGACTTTATTATTTTTAAACTATCTTATGACTTTGTCTATAGCCATTCTCTTTTTTTTCTTTTTTTTTTAAGACTTATTTATTTATTATGTATACAGTGTTCTGTCTGCATGTATACCTGCAGGGCAGAAGAGGGCACCTGATCTCATTGTATGGATGGTAGTGAGTCACTATATGGTTGTTGGGAATTGAACTCAGGACCTCTGGAAGAACAGCCAGTGCTCTTAACCACTGAGCCATCTCTCCAGCTCTGTCTCTTTTCTTTCTTTAGCATCTAAACACATTTTTAAGCATACTGTATCCGGAGGCTGGAGAGATGGCTCAGTGGTTAAGAGCATTGACTGCTCTTCCAGAGGTCCATGAGTTCAATTCCCAGCAACCATATGGTGGCTCACAACCACCAATAATAAGATCTGGTGCCAACTTCTGTCTTCAGAGACACATGCAGGCAGACCATTATATACATAATAAATAAATAATGAAAAAAAAAAGCATACTGTACCTGTTTAGAGATTTTCTCAGACTGGACTGGATTTTTTAACTCCTGCAGTTGAATATTTGTAACATTCTCTGGTCATGTGATGTAAACTTTAAAGTGCTAAACAGCAACTAGGTTCTCTGCTGCATGTTTCCACTTAGCACAGGGCCTGGCAGCTGCTCCATCTCTTCAGGTCTGTGAGAGAGGAACCTCATGCCTAGGGGCCTGGCCTGGAGGTCAGGAAGGCACTTCTAC